GGAAAGGTTGAGGATAGAAGAAAGAGAGGAAGATCACATGCCAGATGGCTATCAATCAGGGTGGTCATGGGCCTGAATCTGAAGGATTTGTGCAGAGCAGTTGAGGACAAGGGGTCTTGGAGATGTCTCATCCACAGAGTTGCCATGAGTCAGGGTTGACTTAGGGGGCAGTTAAAAAGAACAACAAGCTTGTTCATGCTACATTGCCCTTTGACATCCTAAATGCATATTCTGTCTTGCATGTCAGTATGTTAATGCTTCAGGAATGGATGACTATTCTAACACTTCTGGTAGCAATAGGCATCACTTAAGAGGACACTTAAGTAAAAGAATGTTTACCGCAAATCCCCAAATAAAGCACTGAAATGGCATATTCTGCAGATATCATTTTTGCAATTATGTTTTTCATGTGGCCTTGCTTTTCCTTTTGTCTGTTTTTCATGTCACATTCTGTTAACCCATGTAAAACAGCAGTGGCTTAAACTGGCTCTCCTGTTCAAGGAGACAGTGACTTGCATGACCTGTGTCATCCACAAGCAAACTGGTGGTCAGCCAATCCACAGATTTCAGTGGCCAAAGGCACAGAAAGTAGGGGTCATTGTTCCATGGCATTTAGAAGGTACCAGGTTAAGTTGGGCATCTCCATGTAGGACCCCCTCAGTGTAAACTTTTGATAGCTGTGGCTGGTTGGGGTAGATCAAACTGAGCTGGTTGGATTGATTTGGATTCAGACAGCTTCCTATGTATTTTTATTCCTAAAAGTTTCCAAGTCCAGTACTTGGCACCTCAAACTGAAAGGAGCTCAGGGAGTGAAGATGAGAAAGATCCCTGCCTTTGTGGGATACTGCGAGTATCAGACTAGATAATACTGTGCTAGACTCAAAAGTCTGATTCATTCTAGAGCAACTTCTGTAATAAGGTCCACAGGTATCCCATCTGTGGTTCCTCGCACCCTTTCCAGAAAAAAGAAGAAGTTCCATCTTGAAAAAGCTGGACAATAAGGATATGACTAGCTCATGTGTTTTCACACTGATTTTTTTCCCTTTAAAATTAAAACACAAGTTGCCTTGCAAATGTTACTGTCCAGATAGGTGGATCCCAACTCAAGGTCAGCTCCACCATGGAAAAGGGTGGGAAGCAGGCAAACTTCTAGATGTTGTTGGACTGCAACTCCAGCAGACACATGGAGCATAGCCAATGGTCTGGAATGCTGGGAGCTGCAACCCAGCAACAACTGGAGGGCTGCATGATTCCCCACAGTTAGGGTTGCCATAATTCTCTTCCACAAAACCAGGACAAAATGTAGG